CACCTTGACGGTGGCGGTCTGGTGCCAGACCTCGCGCAGCAGGGACGCGACGCGACCGAAGGAGCCCATGACGGCAAGATCGTTGAGCTCAGCAACGCGGTCCTCGAAGAAGCAGCGGAATGAGCTGTCGGGGAGACTGACGGAACCACCGACGAGATAGATCCAGACGAGGCTGCGGTCAAAGCCGGCGGGACCGGCAGGAATGTGCTGCAGGACGGTGGTGAGCTTCTCAACGAGGCCGACGCAAGAGGGCTGGGCCGGGTTGAAGCCGGGCACGAGGCTGCAGAGGTAGATGCGCGCGGCGAGGCGGAAGGCCGTTGTGAGGTTGCGAGAGAGCTGCTTGGGGGAGAGTGTGCCAGAGGCGTTAAAGGGGAGCTTGGGGCTCGTGTCGCCAACCTCGGTCAGGCCGATTTGCTCGCCAAGTGCGTGGACGTGTTGGCAGAGGGTGATGTCGTCCATGCCCTCGTGCTTGAGAGCCTCGAGGCAGGCGATCTCGGAGATGAGGTACATGACGCGATCCTCGCAGCCCATGAGCTCGCGGAGACCGAGGCTAGGGTTGGTGGGTGACAGATGCTTCTCACGGTACGTGTGGGCAAAGGTCGGGGCCTGGCCCTGCATAGTGGCGCCGAGAATGTCAATCCACGCCGTCAGGGTCATGTTGAAAGGGGTCTGGACGGGGGTCTCGTCAGAAACGAGACGAGGAAGATCAAGCTTCTGCACGAGGCTGATGGCAGCCTGGAAGTGCTGGTGCCAGGGGATGTCAGGAAGGGCATCGTCGAAGCGGCCAACGACGCACTGGAAGAAGATGAGGCCGAGCGCAGCCTCGAGAATCTGCTGATGGTTCTCGTCGCGGTTGAGGGCTTCGCACAGCGCCGAGATGGTTGCGTAGCGGTGGCGCATGATGTCGTGGTCAATTTCCTCTGCCGGCAGGTTCATGGTCGCCTTGTAGTGCTGCGCGGCGATGCTCAGGCAGCAGTGCAGGTAGCCTTGGTTGTTCTGCAGGGCAGGGAGGATGAGATCGGAGCCGACGGAACCGTGCTGGTTGGACTCGAGGATGGGGAAGATGGTGGGCAGGACAAACTGAATGAAGTGATCCAGCAGGCGCTGGTCGTTCTCATCAAGCTCAATGGCGACTTGCCTGTTGGCCATGGAAGGGCCGTGTGAGAAGTCGAAGAAGTTGAGGTTCAACGTCTCCTCGCTAAGAGACTCCTTGCGCTCCGAGTAGACCTGCTCGGTCCACTCGCCACCCTCAAGGGGAACAGACGAGGGCAGAATGGTGCCTGGTGGCGGGGGCGTGTGGAAGGTGCTGAAGGTGGAAATGTGCGACTCGCGAAGGGTGGGCACGTCGTTCATGTACACCTGTCTTTCCGTCTTGACATCAACCTCGTACGGCGAAGGGAAGGCACCGAACATGAAGTCCTGGTGCATCTGAGGATGGAATCCATACTCAGAACCGAGGGTGGGTGGGCTGTTGAAGTTGAAGGGGTTGGAGAAGTGCGAGTCGATGGAGGCAGACCGGGTGCGGTCGAGCGGATCAGAGAAGGTGGCCGAGGTGGGCAGCGAGTGCGACAGACCGGGAGGCGAGTTGACGGAAGTCTGGATGGTGTGCGACGCCTTCTCGGAGAGCTTCTTGCGCTTGATGATCATTTTGATGTCGTCCTTGTGCTTTCTTCGCGCATCGTTGTTGCTCCACCACATCGGCCTCTTGTACTCGCACTGCAAGCCAAGATGTTTGCAGGCGGTGCAGTGGGGTGTGCCTTCATCGCACTTCTTTCGTCGCAGTCTGCAGGTGTAGCAACCTAAAGTGGAAAAGAGTCAGTATGCTTAAGTCCCGTGAATATGATCATGAACGTGCAAGTCGAAGAATCCGTATGAAAGAGAGGGGGGGGGGATGCCCGTAAGACGAGCTCGGTGTAAGTGGAACAGCTGTCGGGAGGATAATGGAGCTCGCGTACCTGTTCTTGAGCGACGGTGCATCTGTGCTTTTGATTTGGGTGTGGCATTGTTGGCCTTGGAGGCCGATTTGGCCTTTGCAGACTGAGCAGCTGCCATCTTGACTGGAGGAGCTGGTCTCGCGAAGTCGCCTCGAAGGTGGTTGGGGGATAGTGTTGACATTTGTACCCTCCTTCAAGTATGTCCTCTCGCGATAGAGGGTGCGGTGCCTGGACTGGGAGCGACAAGGAGCTCGGGGTCCTGTGCTGGGGTGGAGGGAGGGGGGCGGGCTACGGGTCGAAAGGTGTGTGTGGAGAGCACGGAGAGGCAGGCGGACGAGGGCCGTCGACCAGCAAGCAGGGGTGGAGGGGGGTGGGGGTGTGCAGGACCGGTGATACCGTGTGGTGCCGGGATCAGATGACACTGTGCCTCGAGAGTGTCGAGGTTGGACTCGAGTCGGTGCTGGGGTAGAAGGGGGAAAAAGGCGAGAGCAGGGGGGGTTTGGCCTTTGGGCTTCCGAGATTCAGTCCAGACCAGGGCCAAGGCAGAAAAGACGGGATGGGGTTTCGTCGTCTCTGCGCTGTCGTTCGCCCTCGGAGTCTGATTGAGCACAGACTGGAGTGATCACACGGAGGGTTTCCCGTCTCCTGTTGGGTTGTGCGGTCGTGCAACTGTCGTTGATGACTCGTCGAGAGCCGTTGATTGATGTCGTGGATGGGATATTAGATTATCTGAAGGCGAAGCAAATCGTCGTCCGTAGCAGTTCGTCTGGCGAATGCTAGTGGTTCGTCGCGCAGCGGCGGAGAAATACGTCCAAGGAATGACTGGATCCGAGCAAGTCCGGCTTGCTGTTCACTGAAAATGTTGTTGAGTTGGGCGGTGAGAGCGGTGGGCGGTGGTCCGCGGGAAGGGGGGAATTGTCGGAGGGGGAGGAGAGAGAGAAAGAGAGAGAGAGGGAGAGGGAAAGAAACGACACTTGGATCACAAATCCTACTTGTTGACCTTCTTCAAACCAGAGGAGAGGGAGGCTCAGGAACCGGTCATGGTGTTGAGGACCCGAAGCCTTATATTGTGGCCGCCATGTCGAAGGCCAACTCTTTTCTTAGCCAGCCAGCAGCCCAGTTCGGCAGACGCATCTGTGAACGACGTAGACTATTGCAGCGATGTTGCTAATTTTGGGTACACCCCGATGGTCGATGGTCGATTCCCACTGCGCTGCCCGCAGAAAGCACGAGCACGAGGCAGGCACACACAGAAGAGGAGTGGATGGGCACGGCAGACCACAACGCGGGACCCGTTGTGTGAGTGTGTGTGTGATCCAGATTCGAACATTGTGCGCTTACAGCCGCCAATGAGGAGGGGCTGCCAAAGTTGGTCGCATCCATCCTGGGAGCTAGACCAGATTCGTTGCTTGCCTTGCATCCGTCTTTGCTGCTGGCAAGTGGTAGGCCCCGCTTTGAGAGAGGTGGAAGAAGGTGTTCGGTCGAAGAGAGTGTGGCAGCACGGTCCTGTGGGTAGGGGGACAAGGGTGTAACTTCACTCCACAAGTGAGTCCAGGTCGCAGTTCAGCGACTAAAAGCTGTGAGGATGCGAAGGCGGAGAGGTGGGATGCCACATCCGGGCAGTCCTCGAAGAGAGCGGCCCACTTGCTAAAAGGAGATCGAGGAAGTGTGGAACTCGGTTCGGGAGCTCGTCCTGGGGGAGGCCATTCGGGAATCCTTGGCTGATGAACCT